CTCTGCTCTCTTTCCTCTCCATGTGACATCACTGTTGTCATTAGTTTGTGTTTCTCTCTCTCAGCAGGTGATTCTGGACCTGGTGTCTCTGGTTGTGGTTGGACCCCGTTTCCGGTCCTCTCAGCCCCCAACTGGTCCACAAAGATGGTTCTGGCTCTGATGGAGGTTTCCTCCTGTTTAAAGTGAGTTTTTTCTTCCCACAGTCGCCATTCAGGATGCAGCAAATCTCCGGGTTTCCTTTCTACAGAATCCTTATTTCAGGCCTTCTGGCTGAACTGGAATCGGCTGAGTTACAGTGAACTGGGTCCCAGTTGGGCTGAACTGGGCCGTACCCAGAGGGGACTAAACCCCACCCGGGGGGGTGCGTTTCACAGCATGCTAAGCTGTAGCTTCATAAATAAAGTGGAGATGGAAACTTTTCTATCTCCACTTTGGAACAACCTCTTTATGACAGACAGAAAAAATCCCGACACGTTTGCTCTCAGCTCTGAACTATGGGGCTCTTAAAGAGGCAGACCCGTCATCCGAGGCCAGCTGAGCCCTGAAGGTGTGCCGTACCTGTCTGACTTCACCATCTTGTAGATCTTCCGGTGGTCGGATATCTCCTCCAGGGTCTCTGAGAAGCCCTTCCCCCTCCGGTGCCAGCCGTGGCGCCACACAGCCAACAGCGTGTCATCTAAATACACTGGGAGCACAAAGTGGAGCTCGGTGAGCCTCTCAGGACTCTGAAGCTTTAACCAGGAATGTAGGAGGGCGTGAGGATGGGGGGAGTCCCAGCCTGGGACTCCTGACTGAACCCTCCAGCTTCCGGATGCTCTCACCTATGGACTCCACCTCGTGGGAGAAGGTGGTCTCATGGGGGAGGTGCAGGTTGCTCCTCAGCTCTCCGTCCAGGTTGACGATGTAGGCCGACCCTGTGGGGGGAAGGGGGAGGTTTGGTAAAGAGGGGATTCCCTCCGTCTTACAGGTGCACTGCTTCTGTTAGTTCTGAGTGTTTGCTGCTTTATTCCGTGAGTCAGGTTGTTGACAGTGTAGATACATCTGTTTCTTTCTCAGGTGATGCAACTCACTCCTCTTGAAGGAGGTTCTGCTTAATTTGAAATGTTTATGTTGATTTTGGATCCTTTATCACCATGATGCCTTTGTTTTAAACTCACTTTGTGATCGCAGGAAGGTCGATGCCATTAAGGAAGCTTTTACTACTTTTAAGTACTATGTTCATTGCAGGTTTAAGATTTTTTGCAGGTTTAATGTAGTTTCATGGTATAGTGCATTTTGATTTCTTTAGTAGTGATCAATACATAGTATTAGTAGTAATCAGAAGTGGAAATCAATAGATAATAGTATAATCACTTTCTTCCCTTCTCTCTGTTAACTTTCCACCAGTGAATATTTTAAAGGTTCTTTTGCCTTCTCATGGGGCTCTTTCCACCTTCAAGGTCTCAGAGAAGGTTTCCTTATATTTTGTCTAAAAATGTTTTGTCTCAGGATTGTTTAATACCGGTACAGGATGGGGGACAGACATTATTTCTCGTTTTACACTCAGAGAGGGCTGTAAAATGCTCTGTGATCTGGTTTTGATTTGTTGCATGAACGTGCGGGTTGCTCTTTCCCTTGAATAAATGCTCTATTTCTTCCTCACTTGGACAGACTCAGACTTTTGCTTTAGAATAGTATTTCCACACCAGAGGGGGGGGGGGGGGGCCTGGGGCGCCTTCTTTTTCCCCACCCCCCGCGGGGGGGTCCCCCCCCCCGCCG